AAAATTAATTTTTAATTAAGACACCATGGAAAGAGCATTTGGTGCTCCAACCCAGAACACCGCCTTGTTCATACTTTCCATTGCAAGAATTTCAAATGCTTCGTATTGACAGAAGAAACAGGTTAGAATTGTAATCCATTGTACATACTTTCCACTACTGTTATCACTAAAAATATGTAAACATATGTTTTAAGTGGAAATACAATGGTAATGTTGCCATCTTACTAAATGGCACACGACGAAGGCTACGTGCATTCTTAACTTCAGCACTACATGGAGGTGAGAAGTCAGCTTCGTGCTCAGACTGGCTCAAATTGCTTTCTCCATGTGGGAAGGCCCATTAGATAGAGAGCTGAGTAGGTCCCAGAGCTGGTCTGTATGCAGTGGTAAAGAGAAAAATCCCTGGTCCTGCAAGGGATTGAACCCTGGTCATCCAATACATAGCCAGTCCCTTTACTGACTGCGCACTCCAAGCTCACTGTCACATCCACATACAACTTATACAGATTGTACAGAAATGCACGAAGTGTATTTCAAAACTAAGAATATACAATGCTGACATATGAGATAGAGGTCTGCACAGGCCTAAATTTTAGAATTTTTACGTGGCCCTGTCCAAGAAGTGTTTGGATCAAAGTTTATCTTTAAATATGATACCCATACTCCACTTAATCCCATCTTTATTTTATTCTAGCGTGAATGACACCTGATATATTTACAACCTGTCCTGACTATCATATCATTAATACCAATTCTTTTAATCCATCAATGTCAGTAATCCTTGAATGAATTATTTAATGACATTTTAAGAACATCTGAGGTTATTTTAAATTTGAGCAGTGCTGCAAAGATATCAGATGCCAATTTTGTAAGGTGTTATCTCAAACTGCTTCTGGAAGGCAGCTGAGTCATAATCACAACTATAAATAAATAAATTTTTTGCGTAAAAATGGCCTGAGAATGTTCAAAATATTCAAAATAAGGTTTGATCGCAAACATTTGAACAAAGCCTGGATCCAAACATTATATGTACTAGCATGACCAGGTCTGACCCTCAGGCTGAGTTGGACTGAGGCCTGGGTCCATGCAGAACTCTAGTTTGAGATGAGAGTGGTAGTCTTCTGAGTTATGACAACTGAAGGTAAAACACAATACAGGTCCGAACGTGATGACATAACCATACCAGACCCTCAAATGGGAGACTGGCAGCTGTACTTTGCTGCTGCTTAGCATTTTGCACCATTTTGCAAAAACATAGGGCCACAGTACCAACATACATCCATCCTAGTACTACTGGATGTCATTCCAATCTCAGCAAAGAAGAAACGGCCAAGCACATTACTGTATAACAACCTATACCAGATAATCACGTGTGAACTGTCTGTCTACCTATCAAATCAATTGTCCAAATTAGCTCTGAGGACATAAACACCCATTTTAACTGGCTGGGCAACCTTGTGTCAAAAGCAATGGAAGTGGAAGGTTCGATGACTGGTTTCTGGGACTAAGGAATAAAGAAGACCTTCAGCATACTTGATACTTTAAAATTAATACTAGTTTATTGTGACAACATGTTCTGGTACAATGGTATCATCCTCAGGCCAATCTTTGTATGTTATGCTAGCTAGAGGTCAAACAGGATTGGAACTTCTTCTTCTTCTATGGCTCTCCGGTCCGTATTCGGTCCATGGCCTCCTCAATTCTCCTCTTCTATTCGGTCCTATCATCTGCTGCTCTGTTAGGTCCGTCTGTCCGAGGCTTTGATTGAAGTTTCGAAATGTCTTCCTTTTTATGGTGCAAGGTTGTTAGCCTTGCGACCAACCCCTAACCTGGAGGATCAGGGTACCTGTCTTAGTCTGACCTCTCCCCCTCGACCAATCTGGCTGGGGAGGCCCTACCAGTAGCTATGCTACTGGCAGCATAGCTCTTGGGATCACTGAGGTTAACATTGAGGCGGATGTTACATAGTGGTTAAAATTATGGTTGAAATAAACATTTTAAAATGTAGTGAACAGTAAAGAATTTTGTAAAAATAGGCCGATCTATTACATGAGTTTCTTACAATAACTGAAGTATGTTGTGGACAACATTTACAATGTAATTATTTTATAAAATCAAACAACTCACAGGAATTATTTCATTTCATGCTTTGCAATGGTGCACCATATAGTCTGTTAAAAATTTACCAACATTTCAGAGATGCCTAATGTCTCCATCATCAGGATAATGCAGTAAACATATCCGAAACGTCGGTCAATCTATATCAGACTGCAGTATGCAAAATCCCAGAAAAGAGTCAACTTCAGGAATTTTCCCCGAAACATAATACAATTAAATTCCAAGATATTAAAGTTTTTAGTAAGTTTTATATAAATTTAAAGTTATAAATTCTAGAGATATGGGAACAGGTATGACAATGTAGAAATGTGGGCAGATCAAAGGGGAAGGGGGTGAGTACAGCCCAAGGGAAGAAGTTAGGACATGAGGACATGACAGAAGAGTCTCAGGGTATGTTTATCAAAGTGATGGCTCAGGAGGTACTGTCTCTCTCCAATTGGTAACCTGGTAGGAAGCGAAACACAATCAAAACTGTGAAGGATGTTTTCAGGACTAGCAAAGATGGTATGCCCTCCAAGCAGCAGGTTGAGGCACCGGTGGTACTGATGATGGACTTAATGGGGGTCCCTTCCTTGTAGAACAGGAGTATCCACAGTCTAGGAGGCCTAAAACCTTGTGGTTGTGGTAGTTGGACAAAGTCAGGAAGTGATGTCCTCTTGACAAGAAGGGTGGTCCTCTCTTTCATGGCCTCAGACTGGTTCTTGGGAAAACTCCTATAAGAAGATGCCCTTATAGGGCCACAGTCTTCTGGTTGTAGTCACTGGTGTTGAGATCCCTTGGGATTACTGGTAGCTCTGAGAATCCTTCCTCCTGTTGGACCTCCTCAGCTGCTTCCTTTGGCAGAGAACTAATGTCTTTCTCCACACTGCTGAGCACAAGGACATTAGTTATCTGCCAGAAGAAGCAGCTGGGCAGGTTCAGCACAGAACTGACAACCTTCTCCATACCATTGAGGAGAAGGCCACCA